ATGCAGTCTTGTTCAATTAAAATAGGTTAATCTTCGGATTATGGTAACTTGGCGAAAATTTGGCGACCAACCCTGCTACAGCCAACCTGCTAGTTGTTTTTTTTTTTTTTAACACCATTTTGTTTCACGAAGTAAAAGCATGTTTTTTTTTTACTCAACATTTTTTTCCACCAATCTGCTAGCTGAATTACGCTTATGCTAGAACTTTTATGGAACAAAAGTGCTTAATCATGACAAAGATTAGGTGCGAAATTGGGAGAAAGTGCAGAATTGCCCACTGCTTGCCGCGTTTTTAAGAATTGCAATTACACGGTATTATCCATGTACACGCCGACCTATTTTTCACTTAAAAAAACATCCCAGAATTGCACAAAAATGGCATTGCGCACACTCTTGACTTTATCCATGGTACACTGCTAAAGTCCTAGCTAATAACCTTTATCGCCTTATCAAAATGTCGCCAAACTACCTGTTACCATATTCCAAAGATTAGCCTTAAAATATAGTACTGCATCTAAATAAATAAATTCTAAAAGTATCTAAATAATTAGTATTCCATAGTACTTCATCAAAATAGTTAATCTTCAGTTATAGGGACAGTAATAAAAGCCGTGATCGATAGAATGTGATAATTTGATTTATTATTGAGTGAAGAAACGTGTGACCAGAAATTGCTTACTACAGATATCTCATAGGCTGCACAGATTTCATGCGTTGCAGATCTTCATTCTTTTACTTAAAGTATGTGTATTTTAATTTTAAAAAAGTTAAATATGTATTCATGGTGCATGTTTAGCCTAGATTTTTTTTTTTTTCTTTTTTTATGCTTAGCAAATGTTTGAAACCAAATTAAATATTACAGCAAACTTTTAAGCTTGTCAGTTTTTTTTTTTTTTTTTTTTTTTTTTTAAAGTTTTAACTTTACCCTTTACAGCAGTCAGTTTTCTGTATATTAGTCTCATTTTTGGCTGCTTGAATTTTCTCTAAAATGTAAGTTTTAAAATTATATTGGGTTTAAATGAAAGTGTCCAGGCTCCACAAATATTATCTGCACAAACACCTCACATTGGTGTGTTTCATCATATTTTGTCAAACGTTTTTTGGCATTTGAAAGAAAGAGACTTTCTTTAGAGCACTGTGTTGTGAAATTTGTAACAAAATATCGTTGTCATAAACAGAGCTCTCTGACCGCCCTACTGATGTTGATGAGGTCCACCTGTAAGAACTTGTCGAAGGAACATTAGTATGCAACCACTTGAGAGCTTGCTAAAAAATTAGACGCTAGTGACATGTCCAATAGTCACACTATGCATTGCATAAACTTGATGTACAGGTTCAATTTCTGGGTGCCACATGAGCTTACTCGGGCAGTTAAGGACAGACGTGTATAAGCCTGCACTAATCTGCTCGAATATCAACGCAAGGACAAAATTCTGGACTGGATCGTGTTTTTTGATGAAAAGCAGATTTACTTCAACAACATAAGGGAAAAAGGGGAATCTGCACCCGGTGAGCCATCAGCAGCATCACAAAGCACAATTTGACTAACAAAAAGATCAAGCTTAGTATCTGGTGAGATTATCATGGTATTATCCACAAAGAGTATCTGGAAAAAGGTAAAACCCTTGAGAGTAAGATGTATAGTCCATGTTGGCGGTGCTGTCCAGGAAAAATGTTGAACAGAGTTCCAGCACAAAACAGTAATATTTCATCAATATAATGCAAGACCACATGGTCTGCATTCACCAGCTGGTCTCTGTACGGACTTGAATGGGATCTTTTGCCATACCCACCATATAGTCCTGACATCACTTCTTCGGACTTGTACCTTTTTTTCAGTTTGTATACGAGGTTTGACTGTACCACATTTTAGTTTTATTTTTGTATTTTTACTGTTTTTTGAAAGTATAATTTACAGTTTTCTAATATTAGAGTAGTATTTAACCATAGACCATATTGAATGAATGCAGCTTGTTGATGGTGATTTAGAGATGCAGATTGTTATTTCTGCATAGACTCCAACTACTACGGATTCTCCGTAGTTTCTACGGAAATTCATGAAAAACTACGAGCTACGAAAAGTATGGAAAAAACTACGGATTTTACAGAACCAAGAGCAGGAGAACCAGTACGCAAAACGGAACCAACTAATTCATCCGATGATTGGCTGAATACTCGTGTTATCATATATCACGTGTTGAGTGAGTTCTTAGTTTTGAAGAATTAGCCAATCGTAGATCAGTAACTCCAACCGTTAACGACTTATCAATAGTTCCACCCAGTTGTCTGTCTCCCAGGTTCCTTGCTGATGCATGTTTAGGCTGCATTCGGCTGCATTGTGTAGTTTACGGCGAGAGCTTAGCGTGTGTCTTGTGAATCAGGTGAAAGATTTTTAATCATAATGCTGCCTCAAACAAAGAAGCCAAAATTATCAAAGCAGAAGTTTAAAGATTCATATTCTTCAGAATTTCCATGCATTAAAGCGTCCGAAATTTCTGTGAATCACGCACACTGCAGTGTATGCAACAAAGACTTCTCAGTTGCTCATGGAGGAAAAGATGACTGTAAACGGCACGTGTTTTCTCAAAGCATATAGAACTTGGCACCGTAAAATCTAAAGAAATAACAAATTTCTTAATAAAAGATGATGAAACAGATCCTATAAAAGCCGAATGCTATTTTGTTCGTTTTTTAATTGAACATAATCTACCGCTTTCTGTTTCGGATCATTCCAAGAGCTTTTCAAAGCAATGTTTCCGAATTCTGCCATAGCAAAAAAAATTTAGCTGTGGTCATACCAAAACTGCTGCTATTGTGAAAACGCTTTGCAGAAAATACTGTTGCTGATATTATAAAATCAGTGTGCAGTACATCATTTTCTCTAAGTACTGATGGAAGTAATGATAACAATGATAACAAACTGTACCCATTGGTTATAACATACTACAGTAAAGAAAAGGGAGTGATAATTACTTCATTGATTTCTATTTTAGAATGCACGAATAATACAGGAGAAGGTATTTTTAATTGTATAAATGAATTGTATAAATAAAAACAAAGGTTTAGAATGGAAAAATTGCTTATCATTTTCTTCAGGTAATGCTAGTAATATGATTGGAAAGTTTAAAGGTGTAGCATAGCATCATTTATCAAAATGCATCAACCAAGTATAATCACCCGAGGTTGTCCGTGCCACCTCTTGCATATAGCTGCAAAAAAAGCTACTGAAAAATTAATTGGCTCAGAAATTGAAATGTTGATAAGATATATATTTTTACTTGGAGAAAAGTTCGAAACAGAAGCATAGCTTCAAAGTTGCTCAACAAATTTTGGGACAGAATGCAAAATCTCATAAAATTTTGAAATATTGCAGTACGAGATGGTTGTCTCTTTTAGAATCTATAACAAGGATTTTGGAACAGTGGGATGCTGTGATAAATTTTTTTGGAGATAAACCAGATAACAGTGAGAATGAAGGAAAGAGATTGCAAAACATTAAAAAAATTTTACAGTCACCGACCACCAAATTATACTTGTTATTTTTGAAAAATACTTTGCCTTTGTTTATAACAGTAAATATTAATTTGCAACAACAAGCTCCTTATATACATAAATTGAGAAGAGAACTTTTTGAACTTTTAATGAATTTATTTGTTAGATTCGTAAAACCATCAGTAATTTCTAAAGAAATGAAAATTTAGTGATTGGTGCGGAAACAAGACTATATTTTAAAAATGCCAAGTTGAATGACAGTGAAGTGAAATCATTTTTCAATTCTGTGCGAGCTTTTTTTGTAACTGCATGTTCATATATAATTGATAAATTTCCACTGAGTGATCCATTTCTAAAACATGAAGTTGCTGACATCAACTTGAGAACTGAAGTCTCATTTTCATCTGTTCTTTACTTGATGAATACTTTTCCATCCATTATTGATGAAAAATGTCTTAATCAAGTAGAAATTGAATTTTCCATGTATCAAGTAGATGATTTGAAAGAAATTGTAGATTTGCGTATTGATATAGCATGGGGAGAAATTGCCAAATTAAAAAATATGAATGGGTGTATTAAATACAAAGTATTGCCTTCTGTAATGCTTGCTGTCTTAATAATCAGCTTGCAAAAGAATTTTTTCTATTGTTAAAAAAAGTCAGACGGAATTTCGACCAAATTTAGGTCTTAAAACTCTTGAAGCAGTTTTGATTGAAAAAATAAATATGCAGGCAAATGAAGAACTGTGTTATAAAAAAACATTCTCAAAATCAGAACTTAAGCTTGCTAAGCATGCTACATATAAATCTTTGCATTCATAAATTATGCGTATTTTGTTTAATACTTATATGTATCATTCTTTGTTATTTAAATTTTTTTTTATTTCCCTGTAGAAATCATATCCAGAATAAAGATATGATTTATAGCTTCTGATTTTTTCTATGATTAGTAGTGATTTGAAGTACTTTTTTTATTAGTGAATGCTTGAGGAGTTAAAAGAAAATTTCTAATTAAATGTGCATATAATTTACAAGGTATATTTTTAATTATTCAGTTTTATATGTATATGGATTTTAAATGTAATAAAATTGATTACAATTAATTATTAATTTAAAATTAATGAATGGTTAATTACAACATACGCTACGCGCACATTTTCAAAGTTGTAAAAATGTCGTTCGCGCGTTGACTACTGACAAGGTTTGCTGAAGGTTGGAGTCTATGTTTCTGTAAATGATTTTTGAAAGTAATTGCCATTATTGTAAACCGAAAAATCCACAGCATTTAAAGAGGATGATTCTAGGTAGAATGTTGGGCCATTTCTCCACCACTTGTAATAAAATTGCTTTTATTATATATTGAGTATATGTATTGTATTTAAAAAAAGATTAATTCATAATATTTTTATAGCAAATTGTACACAGTAGTTTGGCAAGATGATCTTATAGAAAATGAAGCCAATTTTCTGTTGGCAATGACAGTTTGCACCTGTTTTTACTTAACAGTATTATACGTGCGTTTTTTGCACAAAGTTTTGAAAAATAGTTTCTATGGATGCAAACTGCTTATAACTATATTTATTTGTAGGAAACAGATTGTATATTGTAAATTGGAGTACATATTGCAATGAAGCTGGGTGGTTGTAGATGCATACCAAAGTTATTTCTTTACCATTGAGGGCTGACCAATGACTCAGTGGATAAGACTACATTAATTATTAATTTTCTTCATATTTGAAAGTACTTTGGTAAGTAAAAGTTTTCTTACCCTGCTCAGGATTTCTGTGGACAAAAATTACCGAGTGAAATTAACCAAAAAACATAAAATTTAGACTATCTAATTAAATATTAATGTATTGTACATCAGAATTATATTACAAATAGTTCAGTACCTAAATCATAAATCATTTTGAAGTACTTTATAAACGGCATCAGCTCAAAAAATTTAGAAACTCCTGGTTTTCTCGTGGGAACCTCCCAGTTTTTCATATTTCAAGGTTGGCAGCTATTAAGATTACGGGAATGTAAAATTGTGTGCTTTGCAACTGTATGGGTTAATTAATTTATATTGTAATTGCTTGAAAGCAATGATTTTCAATGTAATTTAATCTAATTAAGACACAATAACACGCTGAATAAATACTAATTCAGAAGTCAAACAACAAAAATCAGCGTTATATTTACAAAATTTTCACAGGACTAGTTTCGATGGTTTTACCGAACCACCATCTTCAGCTGCAAAACCGCAAATGAAATTATTTCCTATCTTGTTCATTTGCGGTTTTGCAGCTGAAGATGCTGGTTCGGTAAAACCATCGAAACTAGTCCTGTGAAAATTTTGTAGGTATAACGCTGATTTTTGTTGTTTGACTTCTGAATTAGTAATTTAATCTAGTTGCAGTTACAGTGGAGATAGTTATAATTTTAATTCTTCAAAAGCACAATTGCATTATTATTATGAGGAAATTTTATGACTTAATGGCAATTACTCTGTAACTGTAATTAAATCATACAATCGTACAGTACGGTTCTTATTAGTTACAATTGCTCTGTAATTGTAACTGATTAGAACCTGGTCTTTAACACATTGATTGTCGTAGCAATTTTCAGAATTTTTCAAAGCCAGTGTGATTTTATCATATTGGGGGGGGGTCCAAGATTTATCCTTGGAAGTTGGCAAATGTAACAATGTTCTTTGCTGTAGCAAATTCATATATAATTCATATATAGGAGTTAATCCATATATAGGCATGTTTTGACTAAAACAGGAGTAGTTATATGTGTAGAAATTCAAACAAGGCAAGTCCAGCAACTATGTTCGATCATAGTTAGTTCTCTATCACAGACAATGCCTGCTGCAAATTACTTTGTCATGATGTTAATAAGAAATATGATAATTATAAAAAAGAAAGCAAATACAGTGAAGTACTTAATTACCTTTGCAAATTGTTCATAAAATTTCTTCTGTGTGTTTATAGTAATGTAACTGTAGTATTACAAACAGCCCACTAACCTGCTATTATGTCAGAGTTTTTTTTTTTTATATATTTTCCTTGGACTCTCTTTTTTTAACATACAATAAGTAAATAAGTAATACAGTGGTACCTTGATTTACATACTTAATTCATTCCTGTCTGGGCTTGTATGATTAGAAGCTCATATCTTGAAACCCAACTTTACATTTTGTCTTGTGGGAAATCTGTCTTTTCCTAAATTTAGAATTTTTAGAAAAAATAAGTAAATAAATAAATAAAGCAGTGTGCACTCATGTAGAAGTTACTAGTTTTATTGATAAAATCTTCAGTTGTACATGCTTTGCAAGAAAAAGTAATTAAAATTTAGTATTTATGGAGAAGACCAAAAAAAAATTCATAATGATTGAATCACTTATTTGTTTAATACCTTTCTAAAATGTTAATGACATTACCACTGAAGATATTGATGGTCAAGAAACAACAGCTTGATTTGCATGCCATAAATTAACCAGTAATTCTATATATTTTACAATGAAGCTGACTTTACCTTTAGTGCTGAATTTTTTGTCTTTGCAACTCTCCATATGCATGAACTTCTGACACAATAAATTTTTCACCATTGCAGATCAGAGTACCATATTAAAAATTGAGAATCTTCGCCTACCTGGGAAAACTGGAAAGGAAGATCATTTAATCACTGACATGACCTGCTTAATGTCCAATGAAAATTCATTGCTGCTGCTCAAGATATGCTTGTTATGTATTCTGATCATACAAGAAACTGGAAGTTTCATTTGCCTCATGTGGTCTTTGGAAAGGTAGAGAAGAAGATAAATGACAGGCATGCTGATGTTAAAGGTATTTATTTGTTGCTACTCTCATAAATATTCTTTAAAAAAATCTGCTGACTGAGTCTGATTTGGTTTGGTTTATTTAATTATGGCAAAGTGCATTACTGCTATCTGCCTAAGGGGTTGGGTACATTCATGGAGGACTTTCTAAGGAAAACTGGCTTGCATACATGTTACACATGGGGAAAACCATGAAAATGCCTATGCAGTCAGCCCGTTCACCTGTAAACGAAACCAGATTGGAACTACCTGTGTTCAGCAACTCAATCTCTCAGCTGCTAGTGGGCCTGAGTCTGTTATTCATTTAACACCTTTCTAAAATGGTTAATGACATTCCCATTGAAGATATTGATGGTCTGGAAACAACAGTTTTGATTTGCATGCCATATGTTACCAGTTTTCTAATATTGATGAGTAATTGTATGTGTTTTTCAATAGAGCTCACTTTAATGCTGGATGCTTTTATGTTTGCATCTCTCCATATACATGAACATCTGACACAATAAATTTCTCACCATTGCAGATCAGAGCACTAGATAAAAAAATTAAGAATCTTCACCTGCATAGGAAAGTTGGAAAAGATGACCATTTAATTACTGACCTGTCCTGCTTATAAAAATCCATTGCTGTTGCTCAATATATGCTTGTGTGTTATGATCATACAAGCACTGGAAGTTTCATTTACCTTGTATAGTGTTTTTAAAGGTAGAACATGCAACATACTGATGTAATGGTATTTATTACTATTCTAATGGTCACACGGATGATTTTAAAGGTTGATTATTTTTCATTTAGAACATGCAGAAATTCCAGGGTGGGGGAGAAACATTTACTCGGACAATTAATGAAGTTCATCACATTTTTTTTTATACATTTAGAGATTTGGTATAACCATATTAGGTAGCATTATAAGTGCAACAGTTTGGATGGATCCAAAATTTTTTTGTTATATCCAGTTGTTCATCATGACTGATTTTGCTGTAATAGGATTTCATTATACGTTAAGATTTATTTCTTTATACATGTTTTTCAATAAGATTTTATTTCTCCCTTTCTTTTGCATATTTCTTAACCAACTGTAATGAAAAGGAAAATATAAGTACAACCAAACAATTGCACAAAACTCTTTGTTGGAGATCATTAATTCATTTTCCAAAGAGGAAGTAGCTCACTTTCAATTAAGAAAAGTAAAGATTTGGCCATAGAAATAGCTGCGTTTATAAACTGTAATAATATGCCTAGTCTAGTAACCATGGCGGTTCTGAAGGGTTAATGTGGAAAACAACAATAGTTAAAACATAGAATTTAGCTATTGTATTTGCCCTGAGTAGAAGCCAGCGTCATATATGATGCGATGCTACTTCAAAGATATTTTACAAAGGGGTCAGAATGATGTTTGACCCAAGATGCCTCATGTACTTGCTTCAGTCTTGATAAGTTTAAAAAAGGATAATTAGCCAAGGGCTTGAGGCATCATGTCCATTTTTTACTACTTAAAATGTTTCTTCGGAGATGACATAGTGTGCCTAGTAATTTTGTTCCTGAAGAAACAGGATGTTGAATGAGGGGTCAAAGCTATGAATTTTATTGATATTTTACTTATGAATTTCATGTAGTTTATTTTTGAGAAGCATACATTATCAAATTTTTTCCAAATAACACAAAGAAAACGCATCATGTTCGAATTGTACTATTTTTCCATACAACATAACTGGGTCATGATGTGTAGGAAAAAAGTGGTGATTTATTTTGGCCTTAAATGTTCTCTAAATAATATTTGAGTTTTATAGTTTTACTTATTAATATAATTTTTTAGTTCATCATGCAAAACCTTATGTATCATTACTTGAAAATAAGATGAAACTTGCATTTGAAACTTGTCATTACTTGAGAATAAAATATTTTAAATTTATTTAAGAATAGATATATTTCTGAAATATGTTGCTTATTTATATGCGGTGATATTTTTTAATTTTGTTTGTGTGCTCATAAATAAGCCTTTATTTTAAATTAAAGTCTATGTAATGTTTGCAGAAAAAAGTAGTTTTATTTTGAGTATTAATAGCAAATAGATAGCTACTCAGCTCTCCTTTTATTGTCAAACAGTTGATGATTCTTATGCTTCCTCTATGTATTGGAAAGCCTTCTCTAATATGATTATTTAATTTAGCAAATGATGCTTGCAAATTGGAAATATATTCTATGAATATAGTAAGCAAAAGAATATGATTAATTCATAAGTTGATATAACTTTTGAAAATATTGTAAGCTGTAGGTGAGGTGAGCTGTGTTTCTATTAACAAATAAATAATATTATAAAAATGCTAGCTGTTGTCAGTACTTTATGTCTATCTTGAGATAAAAGGTAATCTTTTTATCAAGATTTCTGTGGACTTCGAAATTTCAGTCCATATCTGGATCAGTATCCAACAAAATTTCTTAGTCTGCTCAGTAGAATTGAAAACTAGCTCTTTTGCAGTTAGCTTCGTAGTCTCAGGCCTGATTTTCATTCTTGGAATTTTAGAGAATAGTTTTCTCTCCTTATTGAGAAGGGACCGTATATTTCTGATTTACTCCCATTTTTATGGAAATTATTGCAAAAAGGAAGTCATCTGATGAGATTTAATAAAGTGCATTAATTCCATTTTCTAAATTATTATTTGAGCATTTTATTGAAAAATCCAAATTATAAATCTGTATGCCATACTTCTTAATATGCAAAAGCTATAATTTTTTACCTATTTTATCAGTTTTATATGATTTAAAACAAAATTAATGCTAAAGGCCAGTGAAAAGAATTTATCAAAATGTTTAAAAAAATGCATATTTTGAATGCACATGAAAAAAGGTTGTTCTGTATGTGTAATTTATGACTTTTGAATTTAAATTCATAATAATTTATGGCCATTACACTTACAATCATGTTTATTGCACATCTTCACATATATTTATAAGAGAGAAAGAGATGTACCATTCAAAAGGCATTTTATGTATGCATGATTATCAGTAAAGCTCATAATGCAGGGATGACCAAAATCCACATTTTGATATCAAACTGAATATGAATGTAACATGGAGTGTGGTCCCTTCTCACAGCCAGATAGGTCATGCAACTTGATGGCATACTAGACAAGGCAGTTGAGGAGCCCCTCTGGCAGTCTTTCTCACTCTTGCAGCAATTCAATTTTTCAACACTGGTAAGGTTCTCTGAGGGGAATGGCGTGATGAAATTGCCTTCTTGAGAGCGTCCCAGATGTGCTGTATAGGATTAACATCCGAAGTTCTGGTTGGCTAATCTATGCAGCAAATTCCTTACTTTCCATGTAATCATCAACCAGCTTAGCCATATGTGGATAAGCATTGCTGTCTATTAACAGGAACTCAGGACCAATTGCAAAGGGCCCACCAGTCACCAAGCGTTAAAGTCACTGAACTCTGGTTTTTAGTCCTGGGTTCAAATCCCAACAAACGGACTAACTGCATGGACATTTTCGTGGGTTTGTCTTATGTGTAACATGTATACCAGCCAATTCCCATAGGGAGTCCTCCACAAAGGCATCCCTGCCATTAGGCAGATAGCCCTTGAGTGCTCTGTCATAATTAAATCAACCAAACCAGGACCAACGGCACCTCCAAAAAGCTGAAATAGGGCTCTAACAGGTCGGAGCCTTTTTCAAACATATGCAGGCATGTGTGATCTTTCAACATAATGCTTGCCCAAACCATTACACTTTCAACATGGTAATAATTCTTTTTGCTGATAAGGGAGGGATGATATCATATTCCAGGCTATCCAGATACTAGTATGCTGAGAATTGGTGTCTATGCTGAATTTTGATTCATCTATAAAAAAACATGGTGTTCTCCTGAAATCTGATCCAGGCTGCATGTTGTCTACACCATGCTAAACATGCTAAAACATACGCCTGATGTACAAAATCTTAGGAAACCATCAGAAAAATCTTTCTTTCTTTGGAAAATATGTGGTATTATTACCACATATTTCACTTTATACGATTCGTAAAACTGTGCTTTTCAAATTGCTTAGGGAAAACTTCAGTGCAGGGTGATGAAATAAAATTAAAATATGCTTTTAAAGTTTTTTAATCCTTCCAGTTGCCTCATTTGTTAGACCATAACATTGTGTGATTTTGCTATGTTGAATCTTTCATTTAAGCCTCACATCTTTTTGTGTCTAGTTCCTGAGACTTACCTCAGAAACGCAGCTAAAATTCAAGGTGCTTGATAGGTAATGATTAAATACAACCTAGTGGTAGTTTATATGTAAAATTTCAAGCAGATTTCTCATTCATTTATCTGAAACAAATCATTGAGAATATTTTTTTACTTTATCAAGTAACACTAAAATGTGTGTGTGTATATATATATATATATATATACAAAGTTTGACATCCAGTATCCTGATTAATTGAATATCCAGACCATCAGTAATATTTTTTTAGAATCCCCCCCCACACCAAAAGAGAAAGAATTAGATTTTGAAAGTAGCATCTTGTTTTAATATTTGCTTGGCACAATAGATATATTTAAATATTAAAGTATGCGAAAGATCATGATTCTTAATTTCATTTTGGCACTAAATAAAACACCTCTATTTTTGAAAAAAAAAAAAAAAAAAAAAAAAAAACAATCATTTATTAGCTTAAATGTATACCATGTTTACTCCATACCCCTTTTTTTTATACATTTCAGACCAAAACATTCTATCGAAATTCATCACTAAAAGTTTGTTCATCATTCACTCATTCATCAAAATTTTACACCTACTGAATAATTTACATCCCTGAAGAAATGACTCCCAGTATAATCAATAATATTCTCAGTATAAACAATAGCACGATACCTGTTATGCAGTACGACTTTACAAATGAAACAAACAGTAAACGGCCGCTTGCAGTCTTAAGATTTACCATAATGTAAGTTATAAATTATTTATGTACACTCTCCCTACTTTTCTGTGCTTTGTTTTTTGGATTTGCTGCCTGA